AAGCTAAATGAATTAACATATTACTCTTAACTTGATCGATGTTGCTTTGTAGCTTAACTTGCCAGTTCATTTTTGAGAAGACATAAGAAAATAATAATAAAGAAAAATAAATTATTGACTGGAAATTTTTCTAACAATAAATAACACATTTCATTCCTAATTTTCCTAATATACCTTTCAACATATTGTTATAGCAAGATGTTTAGCCACGACAAAAATGTCAAGAAAAGTATAATCAATTTGAATTACTTTTTTTTTTTTTCTTTTTTTTTGAAGGGGATCAATTTGAATTACTTCATAAATTTATTGGAATGCTACTTTATATCACTGTTGATAAGGTGTTAGTTGACACATTTTCTTATCTCGAATATGGACTGTTTAGTGTATTAAGTCTACATTGAACTAAGGCCCTGTTCACTTCACCTTATTTTTGCTGAACTGAAGTTATTTTTACTGAACTTAAATTATTTTTACTGAATTGAAATTAATTTTACTGCACTAAAATTATTTTTGCTGAAGTAAAATTATTTTTACTAATTTTCTGTTAAATTTCTTCTTTAAAGTTACTAAATTTTACTGAACTAAAATTACTTTTACTGAACTGAACTTATTTTTGCTGAACAGAAATTATTCATACTGAAATGAAATTAAATTTACTAAATATTATCATTTTACAGTGAAGTGAATAGGGCCTAACATTAATAAAATAAAAAAAAAAGGTGAATGAACAAAATAAATTACGTACTAAAATAATATTGTTATTTCAAATTACGTAACATAATAAAAAATAAACATTAAATTGAATAAATACTTATTACATGTTTTTTAAGCAAACAGTTTTTCCTAATATATATGAAGATCATACATCTAATTATAATAATTGTACTCATACAATAAATATTAATTATTCTTTCAAGGAACTTCTAAAAATAAATTATCTTTTCCGCAATCTAAATCTACATATCTATAATCTAATATATATCATATCATATCACTAATATATAAAGCCGGTCTCGTAGCCAGGTCACGAGACAGCGACACTTGACATTCCAATTTTTTGCCAAGTGTCGCTCAGACGACAAATAGATATTATTATGACACATATGATGATAAGTAAGCAATTTTTGGATAGATTTTATAAGATAAAAATATTATATAAAGTTTTATTATCACTATACTTCTAATATTTCATATACACAAAATTAATCATAATTTTTAATAAATATCCTATAACGCGGTTTTATTTCTATCACAAAATTCGTTTCAAAAAGTTCTTTAAAATGAGATCCATTTATAATATATTTAATTTAGTTAAAAAATAATATAGAATTAGTAAAAATAATTTTGATTTGGTAAAAATACTTTCATTTCAGTAAAAATAATTTAAGTTCAATACAATAATTTAAGTTCAATAGAAATAATTTTGTTCTATAAATAAGCAGTAGGATGTCATATGTCTAAATATCCTGCATTATCAAAAGCCAAAAAGTTTATCCTAAAATTTTATCAAAAATCCGGGCATCGCCCGGGCACAAAACTAGTTTCTTAGTTTGCTTTTCCGTCCCAAACCTTTTTTCTTGAGTTTACCATCGGTATCAGGAGACATAAGGACATGGAGACAAGTACACATAACATGTTCAGCGGCAAGAGCAGACATCCCTTACGCTTCGCATAAGCGATTTTATCCCTCAACGACTAGCACCGTCTTCTCTTATTCCTGTAATGCCACTATAAAGCTTCCTGACTTCCGGACTTGAGCTTCCAATGCTTCACTACGTTACTGAACTCAGTTGACTTACTAGAATCGATTCTTTTCACAGATACGCTGTGCGAAAAGAAGCCCTGTCCTATATCATATTGATATGAGCCCTTGCACCGGACCGGAGGACATACAGATGGCTTGGAAGGGCCTTTTCTTAAATCCTTACTCTAACGAGTAAGCAAGTAAACTACCTTACTTATTTAAGACGAATCCTAGGAGACCTGCTGATCAATAGTATACATCCTTGGGACTGAATGTCATAGCTCGTCCTTTGTCGGGCTGCCTCTGTGCCCAAGCTCGGCCAATGAAGGAAGGCATCTCACCTCGACCTTATGACCCTAGTAAAGTAAAGCCAATGAGCGATTCAAAGAACTAAACTAAAAGGGGGAAGGAAGAACTTTTGGGATAGAGTTTCTTCTTCAAGTAATCCAGAAAGGCTTCAAGCCTAGAAGTCAAAGTCGGCGAATCCGCTTTAAAAGTAAATAGAGCACGCAAAAAGCAAGAAGTCGTCCAGTTATGAAATAGCTCGACCGACCCTTTCTCCTAATCCTCGGAAGAGGCAATGAATCAAAACCCTTTTTCAGTCCAAAGGACAAAGACATACTTAAGTGATATAGGCCTGTGAGCAACTTCATTAAAAATATAATAATAATAATAATAATAATAATAATAATAATAATAATAATAATAATAATAATAATAATAATAATAATAATAATAATAATAATAATAATAATAATAATAATAATAATAATAATAATAATAATAATAATAATAATAATAATAATAATAATAATAATAATAATAATAATAATAATAATAATAATAATAATAAAGACAGATAGTTTACTTGCTTAGTGCTTGCATTAAGGTGTGAAACTTACAAAATGATCTTTCGTAAATTTAGCAACTGAGAGCAAATTTGGCTTGGCATTGAACACGTCGTCCATTAAAGTCGGAATAAATAAAGCCGGTCTCGCAGCCAGGCCACGAGACAGCGACACTTGGCATTCCAATTTTTCACCAAGTGTCGCGCCACGTAGGAGATAAATAGGTATTATTGTGACCCATATGATAAATGCTAAGTAAGCGATTTTTGGATAAATTTCTTAATATAAAACTGTTATGTACAGTTTTATTATCGATAAAATTCTAATATTTCATATATTTTATTAATCATAACTTTTAATAAATTTCCTATAACTCAATTCTATTTCTATCATCAAATTCGTTTTAAAAGTTCTTTAAAATAAGATCCATTTATAACAGTATCTTTAATCACAAATTTTTATACGTAGCTAGCCAAACCATGTCACCAACTATTACAAGAGTTTTTTGTTAGTGCTATAGGGGTTACTTGGTCAGTGCTATAGTGGTTACTCAATCAGTGTTATAAATAGAGGTTACATAGTAAGTGTTAAAGGTTACTTAGTTAGTATTACAGGGGTTACTCGGTCATTTTTATAGGAGTTACTTTGACCGGCCAGATGGTGAGGCTAGCCGCATACAAAGTGCATTGTTATTTAACCTATTTAAAAAATATATTATTGAATCAGTAAAAAAAAGTTTTAATCAGTCAAAATAATTTTAGTTTGGAAAAAATACTTTGAATTCAGTGAGAATAATTTAAGTTTAATAAAAATAATTTCAAGTCAATAATAACATAGATATCTATTTAAAAACAAAACTACGAAAAGTATGTCTAAATATCCTACATTATTAAAACGAATTATTTGACCGTATTCAAAATTCAAGTAGAAATGTTATCTTAAAATTTTATCAACCATCTGGGCATCACCCGGGCACAAAACTAGTATATAAATAAAGTAGCCATTTTTCGGGAGTATTCGGCGCGCCACATAAGCAATGGTATTATTAATACATAATAAAGTAGCCATTATTAATACATAAGCAATGGTATTATTTCGACCAATGGAAAAATAAATTTATATTTTATTTTAAAATTAAAAAATTCATTCACCACCCAAGCAAAATTAACAAATGAGATTTAAGAATTTAAATTCAACTTCCACGTAGGTAAATAATTATGAATAGTGATTGAGGATTTAAATAATTAAAAAGGCAAAAGATAATCTTTTGATATTAGAGATTTTAACCAAATATTCCATAAATATAATGTAAACTTTATAGATAATTGTTATCTTTACATAAACGTATGATTATCACAATGAAAAAGAAAAAAAAAATCAATTCTCATAAAAATGATTATTACAATAAACGTATCATAAAAATAATAATAAAATAAAAATTAATGATATGATTTAATTTCATTAGTTTTTTTTTCTTATTATCTCATCAAAAATAATTACGTAGACATTGGATGTTTTTTTTTAAAAAAAAATTAATGATATGATTTAATATCATTAGCTTTTATTTTCTTATTATCTCATTAAAAAAAAAAAGTAGACATTGGGGATTTTTAAAATATTACAATAAAAAAAGGAAAAAATATAAGTTGAATGAAAAAGATATGATTTGATTTCATTAGCTTATGATTTTTTCTTATTATAACTAATTATTAATTTAATTCATATATCACAAAAAAAAAATCACACAATACTTCGCATGAAACAATTTGAGATTTTATATTGTATTTAAATTAAATGTCTATGTAGGTCCTTCAAATATATTTAAACGAAAATTTTACAAAATATATAGTTGTTTATATATGTGTTAACTTAAGTGTATAAGATTTTTAAAAAATAGTAGTACAATGTATTAATATTTTGGAAGAATTGATTTTAATAATCCAAACTTTAAACGATTTTCTTTAAATAATCCCAACTTATATAGATACTTTCCTAAAATAATCCGAAGTTTTATCTTTGTTACTTTTGCTGATCCCTTTTGGGACTATTATTTAAAACAAAAATTAAGATTTGAATTATTATTAGAAGATACCTATATATGTTGCGATTATAATTAAAAGTTGGGATTATTTAAAGAAAATCGGTCAAAGTTGGGATTATTAAAACCAATTTTTCCTAATTTTTTTTTTGTTACAATTGAATATAAAATGTTAAATTTCTATATTAATAGAGAACTGTAAATTCATGTAATTTAATTTCACGTAAATTGTTAATTTATAAATTATTTAATACAATTTTTCATATTGATTGAATCCACTTATAAAAAAAATTAGATTCGTCACTAACCAAATGTCTTATATTTTCGATCGTTTGGCGATAATTATAAGGACATTGTTTGTCTATCGGTCATGCTTGAAGGTTGCGATTCTGTGATTGCCAATTATGCATTCGCAAAATTAATTTCTAACCACTAGGTATATTTCTTAACCTATATGTATAATTAAATCATATTGTTAGTTGTGTATGTATGTATATTTATAATTGTAGTTAACTTTATTTTTTTTTTTCTGACTTGTAGTTTTTGAGCAGTGACCTACAGGCTATACTGGCTACTAAAGTCGGTCGATTTCACTTGATGATTGACGATGTGTCAATCATCAAAGTTGAGGTGAGAAAATTTAATCTCATTTCTAGATTAGTTGTCTAATTCATGATTTAAAGATTTTTTGGTAATAAAATGTCTTTTTTTTTTCTTTTTTTTTTTATATTATTGATATTTTTTGGTAAAAAACTGTGGTTTTTTTTTATTTTATTATTATATATATGTAGTTTGTATCTTAGTATATTATTTAAAGTAAAATTATATATACAAACATTTCAGCATTTCCTTGCTTCTACTTAGAACTGTCAATTCAGGGATTCAGGTCGGGTCGGATCAATGTGGGTTAGTTCAACTTGGGTCGGGTTAGTTCTGGTTAATATCATCACCTTGTGGCTCAGGTTTAGGTCAGGTTAATATGGGTTGGGTCACATTAGATCATGCATATATCCTATTAGGTTTCAGTCGGGTTAATAGCATATCGAGTTGAATTTGGTTTGGATCAATAACACGTCAAGTTAAATTCATGTTTCAACAGGTTATAACAGGTTAGGGGCATTTTCGGGTTTGGGTTGGGTTCGATTCAGGTTAATAATTTGTTGGTTTTATTCAGGTCAGGTCATCTCTAGGTTGGGTTAAATTTGATCTCGGGTTGTGCTTATTTCAGTTTTTGTTCTCCGGCTATTGTTTTACTTTCATAGTTATTAGATTTGCTGATACTGGAAAGTCTCCTTATTTTTTGTCTTTTGTTTTGTTTTGTTTTGCAGTTGGCTGGAAAAAATGCAGAGGATGATTCCCCTACACCTTCAATTGGTCAACAATATTCTCCAAGCCAGAATGGGGCCTTTGATTTGACGAAGATGAAGAAAACTTCAGATGCTTATCTTGGGAAATCAGTTTCAAAGGCCGTGGCTACTGTTCCCGCTTATTTTAATGATACTCAAAGACAAGCAACTAAAGATGCTAGGAGAATTGCAGGACTAGATGCTCAAAGATATATAAATGAACCCACCGCTGTTGCTGCTCTTTTTTATGGGATGACAAATAGGGAAGGTTTTAATGCAATTTTTCATCTTGGTGGTGGAACTTTTGATGTCTCTATTAGGGGTGGCAAAAACTGGCCCGATCCGAAAACCCGACACGAATCCGACCCAAAATTAGTGGGTTAGGGTTGAGAATTTCGACACGAAAACTTAAATGGGTTGACACGAACCCGACCCGAAATTAAATGGGTTAGGTTAAGGTTGAAAAGTTCAACCCGAAAATGACCCACGTAACCCGAAAATATTTTCGGGTCAACCCGAACACGACCTTATAACCCGAAAAAAGTCTTTTAAAAAAAAATAATACTTGGCCCAAGCCCAAATTGAAAGCTGAAAAGAGTGAAAACTTAAAACCCTAAAAAGAGAGTTTTGGTGTGAGTTTTTAGCTATGATTCAAGGGGTATTTATAGGCTAGCTCATGCAAGAATTAAGGTAAGAAAATGTAGGAAGAATCATGGCAAATTTGGTTTAAGGAATCACTTGGAAAAGTGAGCTAAAGAATTTAGGAAAGTTTAGTTTTATGGCTAGACACCTACTTTTGGCCTCCTGTCCCGATAGGAAGTGCGATGATGTTACAAAAACTCGTTCTTCATGCTAGATCAATATTGAAGTGTTTACGAACTCCGAAATGCATTATGAAGTAAGTTAAAACCCGTATTTGAGACCAAGTTATCTTAATGCCTTGTCCGATTGCTAATTAGGCCTAAAACGTGTAATCTTGATTAATAACAGACATAAATGCGTCAAATGCAATGATTGGATCAAATATATCTTACATTGTTGAAAACCGAGCCAATCAGAAAAATTAACCATCTAATATCCGTTTATGGCCTATACAGATGGATATCCCTGACAAAGAGATTTCCAATGGTATATTATAAGCCCAATTCCGAGTTAAAATGAAGAAGTTATCATCAAAATACTAAACCGGGCCCTAAAACCGACAACCTTTGACATTCAGAGCTTTCCAATGATATCTTATTTGCCTTAATACGACTTTCTAATCAAAAGTTATGGAAGTTTTAAAATATGGGTTTTCGTATAAGGCAAACCGCGGCACACAAATTCCAATAAAACTCTAAACCTAGATTCTTACGCCTATAAATATAGGTCTTCGCTTAAACCTAATCACAACAGAAAAATCAAATTTTAAACCCTAAAGTTTTGAAAATCCTGATCTCTCAAACCCTCTTACAATCATACTACTTTTCTCCTCTCTTCCTAAATACTCTCCAACCCTAATTTATTCCATTGAAGCCTTTGAGGTACAAAGAAGAAGGAAGGTCAGTAAACATCCAAAATAGAGATCTAGAAAACAAAGGAGAATGGTAGTTTCCTGAGCACTTAGATCAATCACCTTTTTCTTCTTGTTTTAAATAACTTTAATCAATTAATTAGTGTTGTTTGATCACTTTAAATAAACTCTAATTAATCAATTCACGTAGTATTCTTTTGTTAATTAAAGACTAGAATTGGAATAATTAATTGTTGTTTTATCACTTAAGTCAAGGCGAATCTTGTTTTATTTCTTGTTCTTTTCACGAATTAATTGAATTAAAAAAGAATAACGACATTCATTGCAATGTAGACTTTTTTTTTTATTGATGTTTGTAAATAAAATCAACTAACTTAGTTTTTAGGAATCGCGTTGCATATATTGTTTGGTAATGAAATTGTGAAAAAGGAAGAGCTAGTAGAGACCGCACTAGGGCTAGGATTGCGATTCTAAAAGAGAACGTGTTTCTAGTATCCGAACTCATTTCTGGTTTAGTAAACCAATTTGGGCATGGGTAAACTTATGATTCATGTTAATTATCCCTTGAACACTACTTAGAGAAAGGTATGAACGAGTTTTATGAGTTTTCCTAAAACTCATTAGTGACTCTCTATTGGTTACTTGTAATAAAAAAGTAATGACGAATTCAATTCTAATTCAAGGTCTCTCAAACAGTCAGGAGTTCAAATCCTAACACACCCTAAAAGGTGTAAAGTCCTAGGCTTTTAAAGGGCATAGAGGAAATGGGATCCCCAACGACAGGTCACCCTCCTCACAAGGGGCACTTATAGAGTGTATAGTATTAGAGTATCTATATATTACATACTCCCTCCATCCCATATTACTCGTAACGTTTTGACTTTTTGCACTATTCACACATCTCACTTTGACCATCTTTTTTAGATATTATTTGAAAGCCAATGTAATCATGTAAGATGTTGTTGGGTCTATTTTAATGTATAGTTTCTTAATATAAACTTTTTATATATTTTATAAATATATAATAAAAGATATTGACGATCAGACATGTACATCGACAAGCGTGTCCAGTCAAAATGTTGCAAGTAAAATGGGACAGAGGGATTACTAATAAAGGCAAAACAAAAAATAACACTTGGCAACATATAATTAAAAACTTTCCCACAAATTTAATTTCTTAAAAAAATTTCATTATTATAGAAAAAGAGATTATGACATTCACTTTTATATAAAATTATGGTAAACTTCCTAAAATATCAAATTGCCTATTTAAACCTTTTAATTATTTTCTTTTACTATATTAATACTGTATATTTTATTCATACTTTCTAATCCTCGGTAACTGACAGGCTAAAGTCGTAGCACCTAATCAAAAAAATTACCTAAGTCCTCTAACTAAAGTAGATAGGGAAGTAGGGTCGAATCCACAAAGAAACAAGTCTTTCTATTCCTAAATAATTAAAATAATCTAAACTATTAAGTAACCAATTTGTTTTTATGAGAATTAAACTAAGGAAAATAAATAACTAAAGCAAATTAAACTGGGGAGAAATCAATAAATCAAAGTCTAGGTATAGGTTCACCAATAAATAATATTCCAGGGTAAAACACAATCTTCAATCATCAATGCATCAATTAATCAGATCATAAAGGGCTTTCGCTACGTATTACAATCACAAAATTAATCTACCGGTATGAAATCGCATCTCTCAAATCTTGGCTTAACCATTTATAAATTAACTTACCTATTGAAACTAAGCCTAAACATCAATTCTCATCTCTTGAATCTCGAATCAATATTGCATAACTCATACAATTAAACCTGACCAGATCTAATTGCATAGCAATAAATCAATCAATAGGAAATCAATCAAGCATTGACAATCAACAATAATGAATTACCCCTTCATATTATTTATGGATCCCCACAACCCTAGAAATAAAACTACTCACACATATTTAAATCTAAACTAAGAAAAGCAAATAAACAAGACATAATTAATCAAAGCAATTAATTACTGAAAATAAAAGGGAAGAAATCGTTACCAAAATAAACGGAAATGATGAATTGCATAAACTAAAAGTGTAGAGAGAGAAAGAACAAGAGTATTAACCAAAGCTTAAAACTAAAATCTGGAAATTAACTAATGAGAAGAGGTCCCCGTCACTAGCTTAACAAAACTTATTTATACTTAAGCACAAAAATCCTAAATAAAAATAAATTAAAATCGTCGAAATCCTCTTAAAATATCCGTCCGGTCGGGCCCGCCTTTTTGGTGAGAATATCTTCACTCACGCCCGGTCGAACGCAAGACAGGGCGAAGGGCTGCTATTTCTTCCTTCCTCGCCAGTCGGGTGATCTCTCGGGCAAGGGAGTTTCTTCGATTGGGCCACTCTCTTGGCCCATCCATATTTCCTCTTTGGGGCCTTGAATACTTGGTCCATTGCCTCGGTCTCTTCTTTGCCGAGCCCTTAATCACCGATTTGATGACTCTAATCGGTCTTGGGCTACGAAATATGGTCATATTTCTCTAATGCTCGTAGTGGCTTATCATAAGTCCGGGAAAATGCTCCATATCTGCAATATCCTATAAAACAATACCAAATCTACGAAAGAATTAGAAAACACATATTAGTAATAAAAGTGGATCCAAAGAGTCAAAGATACTCCTAAATATGACCAAGGGACGGGGGTAAAACACTATATAAAATGAACAAATCAAACTCCCCCAAGCCAAACCTTTTCTTGTCCCAAAGCAATGAGCTCTTCAATGAACAAATAAAATATACTTCACCCCAAAAATCAATTAAAACCAAGCATAACCAATTCAAGGCAAACCCAACAAATATGCATCAAAGTCAACCAATCAAATCCATCCAACTACTTATCCTCCCTAACAATTGTCAAGTAGAGCAAAACATAAGTGTATATGGAATTCAAGACTAGTGCTCACGCACTCTTCACTCTTTATGTGGCGGATATAAGATGTATCCAATCGCTCTCCATCCAACCCCTTTAATGTGAACAATTCCCTCCCAAACTCACAACACTCGTGTGTTTAAGAAAACAATCACTCAACCTAGTAGTCGACTCGGAATATGTCAAATCATTCTTTGCATTGATAAACAACTAATTTCACATCCATACAACTCTATGCACAAAGGTTTGAAGGTCTTCAAAGCTTGTAATGTAAGGCTAGGGTAAAAGGTAGGATAAATTTAGGAAAATGTGAGAGTAAATCCATGCTTTAGGGAGCCAATCCTAATAAACCACTGATCAAGGGACAATAGGTCGTTGGTCTACTATCCTAGATCAAATTTACAATTTATATTCCTAACCTAACTCTATCAAGTTCACACTAGATAGTGGCAAGCTAGGGTCGAACCACAAGGACTAAGTGTATTAATTTGAGGTAATTAAACTAGTAGGAAGGTTGTGAGATAGAGAGAAAGAAACAACTAAAACACTACTTAAAGCAATTAACAAGGTACTAGGGAAAGGGGAATCCAATTACATTAATAAATTCAATGACAAGTCACAATCAGATGATCATGATCTCAATTAGGAACGATCAACACACTCAACTCACTCCCGCGCAATTAAGCATGTTAATTATCCTACGAAGCTAATTCACTCCCGCGCAACTAGCCTAGCAAAGGTATGGAAGAATCTAGACTCTCAATCAACCCACTTCCGCACAATTGATTGCAAGCACAATGAAGAACCTAGAATCAATTAGCTAAAAAGATTCTAGTCAATGTAAGCATCATCTAAAAACAATAATCAAAAATCAATAGCATACTAATCACAACTAATCACTCAATCCATCAACCTAAATTTCATCCATTTCCTTAGAACAAAAACTAAGCA